AACCAAAAAAAAAAACCCCGCAGGTATGAAGTTGTCTTTAGAGTCATGGGATTTTGTTGGTTATGGGTTCCTATGTTAGGGGAATCAGGTAAGTCTCTGACTGAAGCAATGAACAAAGAAATAGAGCCTTTTGTAGGGGGCTCAGGGAAAGAACAAGCTATAAAGCTATGAAAGGACCTTGGTATAGAGAGTAGATTTGGTAAACTGTGATCCTGCCACCTTGAGCAAGGGTTCCATGGACTTTTGGGCTCCTAAAATAACCTGTGTTCCCAGCATACAATTCCTGTGGTGCAGTGCTGTGATATCTGCTTCCCTTTGGATCAGGAATCTCACAGCTTTGCTGATCTGAAACTTGGGGTTTCACAGTGCACAGCTCCTAGGGAATGACAGAACACATGGGCTGTCCTGGGCCAGGCCACGCACAGCCCGTGCATGCTCTGCTGATCCGGGTGTGTGGATGTTGGAGGAGGCCCCTTTTTCCCTCCTGGCCCTATGGCAGGTGCAGCAGAAGCCCTGAGGAACCACATTAAAATCAAAATTGTAAGCACTTCCCCTGTCCTTGATAGAGCACATCCCTCTGACCTCCTGGTGCTGTGTGGTCTCCTGTTGAACTCTTGGGACATTCTCAACTTGCAGGATTTTGTGGGAGCCTGTTGGAGTTGTCATGGAGTTTTCTGAGGAGCTGTTTGGCCAGGAGGAAGGAGCTAGGCCTATAATCAAGAGAAGCTGTTGGGAACTGTCACATTTCTAAGCTGATTTTTTTTTGAGGGATCCCAGTTCTCTCTGTTAGGAAAGATGTGTCAAGCTGTAATTACAGTTTTGGGATGGTGCAGCTTCAAGTGAGTGTGCAAATCTCTGTTAGATTGAGTTCAAGACATGCCAGCTCAGCAGCAGGCTCTGGGCCTTTCTCTCACTCATTGTTGAGGAGTGGTTGCTGGAGAAGAATCTCACAGAGCTGCTGAATTTCAGTGCTCATTGCTTCTCTGTGCATTTATGCTGAAGGAGTAACTGCTGCATTTACTTCATAATCCTGACAAATGCTTCCCTTGCTTGGAGATGCTTTGGGTGAAAGATACCCAGGTGACTCAAAGAACAGTCCTAGAGGTCTGTTTTATGAGAACTCACAACAAACCCATTTGGTTCGAACAAAATTCTTAGGTTTACTTTACTCTGCTAAACAATTGATAATATAAGGATATGAAGAAATCTGGTGACTGACTTGAATGGAAAATGAGAGAATAACAAACTTATCTTAGCATTGATTGCATAAATAAACATGAAGGGGCGGCTTATGTGCCTCTGGCAAATAGCTGAAATGAATATTTCAAATAAACCTGTCTTCCTGCTCAGTAGAAAGCATCTTATTTCCATTGTTAGYTTGGCCTCTCCTTGGTGATCATTGTGAGGTCCAGAAGGGAGAGGGAATTCCGTTTCCTGATCAGAGCTGGGCAAGTGCATGACCCAAGGCAAGCACAGATTGAATTTCCAGCCTTGCATATGTCATCCCACCTTCTCCACTGTAAAAGAGATAAGGATTGTGAAGATTGCTCTAGAAATACTCTTGACTTCTTTACTGTTCCAGCCCTTGGTTGATTTTCTTGACACTGAAATAAGCCAGAGAACAAACTTTCTAACACATATTGAAATACTAGAAAGCAGGTGTTCTTTATTATAGTGCACACATTYRGAGGATTTTTCCTCTAATCAAATGCGTATCATGAAACTTTGCAATAGAGTATTTATTCAATCATGATCATACATATTCATTACAGTGTACTTCCTAACTAATACATAAACATCACTTTTCCTAGTATTAATTTACATGTCTCCATATCTTACTGGAAGTCCTTTTATGATYCTAGAGGGTCATCTAAAGGGRTCTCTGGTGGTTGTATTCACTGGGTGTCCCTAAAATTGTAATGCTTGAGATTCTCTTAAAGTATACGCTGCTGTCTCTTGTTACGTAAGTTGGTCACAAAACCCACTGTGTTTTAAACATCATCTGTTTATTTGCAGGTTCCAGCTATGTTTAGCATCCTGTGTGTCAATTTTCAAATCCTAATTTGCTAGTTAGTCTTTAAAYTCGATTTTGCAGCTTCAAGGGAACTGAAAATGTCATTTGTCCGTGTTGTCTGTCACCACAGACACCACTCCTGTGTCAAAAGTAATTTGGTTTTGTTACTGATTATGTTGATATTGAGACAATCCAGACTTAGAGGCCTGGAACCCRATGTCCTCTCCCTACAGAGCAGTTCCAGCCTGAACACCTTCACAACTAGACTTCCCTCTCAGGATTTACTTCAGTTCTGATGGGTATCAGGAGAGGAAGGAAGATGAGAGGTTAATCAAGGTCCATTTACCTGAAGTGTGGCTTAGGAAAGTACCCAGAGGAGTTTATGAAGTACAGAAAAAATCAGAGTGATTGGCATATGAGTCCATCCAGAATGTGACTTAGGTTGGGTCTAGGCTTTCCAGTGAGGTCCAAAAGTATTTGCCTTGATAGATGTCCATAGACAGGACCCCAGGGTTATTTTATACCACCTTATGCCATGCCCTCTGCATGGACAGAGAGAGTTGGGTTGGGCTGGTGTGGGGGGTAACACCTGGTGAGCAATCCTGTGTGAAGTGTTCATCTGTCGTGTACACTCTGCTATTTGTTGTAACTGTTGTTGTAACTGTTTTCTGATTGCTGTTTCTTGTAAGTTGTTCTTATCTCAACCCATGATCTTTATCTTTTTTTGTTTCCAGTTCTTCTCTCCATCCTGCTTCAGGGAAGTGGGGAGGGCCGTGAGCGAGAGGCGCTCATGTGGGTGTTCCTTTGGGAGCATTAAGTTGGGCAATTCCATTCCTAGACAAAGTTCCATTTTCATCTGATTTCTTTATAGCAGCCT